TCCATTTCAACATGAAAACCACAGAATAACAACGAACACCTTAAATTAATTTACGACAGAACACATATACAGCACAATAGAATAATGAACTGTGCGTCACATGAATATATCAACGCCACAAAAAGTGACGTTACAGGTAAATTTCTAAAAATACAATATGAAATTGGGATTAAGTTTGAAATGGTGTTATTTGATGTATTTTTCTAACTATTACAAGAATATTAATATTGAATTGTGTTACTAGCAATAATAAACAATAGAACAGTAGGATTAAGGTTGTAATGGTGTTATTTGATGTATTTTCTAACCATTACAAGAATAGTAATATAGAATTGTGTTACTGGCAATAATAAAAAACAGTTGTGTTACTAGCAATAGTAAACAATAGAATAGGACGTTGTGGTTTAGTAATAGATTAGTATATATCTGTCAAAAGTACTTTTTTTTATTTGTAAGATCACATGTTTATTGAAGCTGTTTAAATTAATCACCGGACTTATTATATTCAAAATGCAATCATACTTAATTATATCTTAAAAGTTTTGAAAGTCTAAGAATAATCAACATTAAGCATAAGAACATGCATTTAACCTTTGTAGTTCCTTCAATATAACTTGTGTCTGTTGTATAAATAACCTAATCGACGTCCGTCAAACTACGCGCGGGAGCCCGATATTAATGATCTAGTGGATTTACGACAACTTGTGGTAAGCTGTTTTGATTGTGACACATACATTGTTACTGACAAACCGACCCTTTGTCAGCCTTTTCACCTCTTTATCCCCAAAATTACATGTATTTTAAGAAAAAAATAATCATCAAAATTCATTACTTTAGTTTTGATCAGAACTCATTACTTAGAGTTTTGGGTTTAGAGAAATTCAGTAATTTTCTTACTTTTAAGAAAATTAATAACGTAATGCAGCGCTTACATCTGGAGTATATAACTCCTACTTGATATAATATTCCACGACTTGAGTTTCGATTCACGATTTCCTTTAAAGAGGATTACTGCTCATAATGAAGCTATTATTCCAAGAGTTCCAAGTTGTGAAGTCGAAATCATCCCTTCGAAAATTTTATGGACACCACCACGAGTTGTTTTACCGTTTCAGAATATCTGTTTTACAGATGACGACGGATATGATCCAAGCATCATAACCATAATCCTGTCCTCCTTTCCCCGAATGTGACCTCACGAATTAGACTTATCACCAAGTTTGTACTTACATGAGCAACACGACTGGTGCCACATGTGGAGCAGCTATTTCTCATCCTTCCGGAACACCTGAGATTGACCCCAGTTTTTGGTGGAGTTTGTGTTGCTTAGTTTTTAGTTTTCTAAGTTGTGTTTTGTTTATTCTTTTTGTCTTTTCTGTCTTCTTCTTTCTTTGCCATGGCGTTGTCAGTTTATTTTCGACTGATGATTTTGAATGTCCCTTTAGTATCTTTCCCCTGTCTTTCAATGAAGCTTCATTAGATATAAGTTTTATTATTATTAAAACAAAATTTACAACAAAAACGTGCTTTGTTGCTCAGACTAAAACCTTTTCTTTAAATTTTGCCAAATGTTTATGTTATGATATGACATTTGCATTGAATTAACTCAGTCAATTGTAGTTAGAAAGTGACGATAAGCATTGGTAATAACATTCGGGTTGGGGCTGCTCTGCCTTCTGACATCTGGAATCGATATATATATATATATATATGTGATATGCAAACGTAAGTAAAAATGAATCATATGTCATGCAGAAGACACATGAACTCGTAAAATATAGTAAGGATAATAAGTATAATTTTCCGTCCAAAATTTATTGCAAATTCAAAAAAATACCAGTTCAGTTTTGCCTTGACATCACTTGGGTTAAAGTAGTTTAGTACAATGTTCCCTCATGATGAGTAACTATGGCAACAAACAATGTCAAAGTTGTGTAATCTTGTAAATATTCTTGAGTTTCTTGTTTTGTATCAACTATAGAACGTATTTTGGATTGGAAAAATATTGTCATACCAAAATATAAATTTAAACTAGGTGCATTAGTCCTAGCTTAATCGCAGCAACAGTATCAATGCTTCAATGCAAGTTCAAAATTGGTTGTATTTGACAAAGATTGTTTTACGCCTAAAACAACTATAATCAAAGATCATTAGTAAAAGTTTATTCATATTGTAGAACAGGTTACAACATATTCAAAATTTTTAATCGTACAACTTTATACAAGAATCATGCACCCAAATTGGCCAATGTATAAAACTGTTAATAAATCAAACAGGAAAATTTTATTAGTTATTTGAAAAATCCGAAAATTTCATAAATTTTTTGAACGTATAAAATGTTAATCCTGGTATCTATGGTGAGTTTATATACAACTAAGAGCATACAATATTATCATATATCATGCAAATTTACTTAACATATTTGATGTGTAAACTTTCACAAACCTCTCTCTCTCTCTCCTCCTCCTGTTTAAAATTGCTGTTGTTGGAATAGATCGATTCTTTTCATTGCATGAATGTTATGAATTTTTCAAACATCAGTATCGACAAAATTTTAATAAGCTTCCTTTTGGATAAATACAATAATGCTAACAAATACTGAGAACACACATTTATCATAAAATGTTTTCATTATCATCTGAAAATAACAAAGACAGAGATCAATATCATTTAACTTATATTTTTATATTAACAATGTTCAACAATATTTATCAATATGAACTTAAATAAGACACGTTTCGCCTGGATTAGCATTGATAATGTTATGCCTATTTATGAGACAAAACACCTATTTTGCAAGATACATAGGGTTATTCAATGTGTTTATCGCTCATGATTAGTGAATCGTCAATTAAAAATAATTCAACGTTAATACAAAAGTTATGAAGTAGTCACAATTCGATAGCATGATAAAATAAAAATAAGATGTTCAAACTTAACCAAACCCAAGTTTCAAGCAAATTTACCAGTACTAGATTTGAATATGAACATCGATAAATTTGAACTAAAATGAAACATTCAACGATAAGAATATATTTCAATGTCAGGAAACTGTCGTAGATATCATAATTAGTCATTAAGACAATCTTGGTCTTGCTTTGTCTCACATGCTAACATATAGTTGACCATATGAATTACCAAAATTGTTCATATGCATGTTTAATTCTTTAACATTCTACATTTGTCTTTGTATTGAATATATTTATATATATATATGTTACAGGCATTTTCTAAATTTAGGCATTTGTAAAATGACTGAATTTTCAGGCAATTTATAAAATGCCTAATCTTGACAGGAATTATATAAAATGACTAAGAATACCTAGTCATTTTGTAAAATGACTGAAATTTTTAAACAAAATTCAACAAATTGCCTTTTGAGGCAATTTGTAGAAAAAGGATATCATTGATATGCATATGACAAAAAGTGGCCACAAACACGACATCTTGCAAAGAAAATAACTGATGATTCGTTAGAATTAATTTATTCTTCAAAAACCAGCTGGGAAAATTTGTATGTCATACGCTATGTTCTTTTTTGTGAAACTACGTTAAGTTTGTACTCACTCTGTATTTCAGATAGTAAATTTATGATTATTTTGTCAAAATGGCAAAAGGACAAATTGTTCTTTCAATAGAGCAAAATTTACAAACGAATTTTTAAAAAATCCAGATTGAAAACAGTGAGGTAAAACATATGAAGCAGAAAAAAAGAAGTTTGTTTTTGATAGGCTGATTGCTGTTTGTTTGCTTTCAGTAGCAAATATTTCGTGCATTTTTAAGACGAGAATTATTTGGTTATAATTCATATGGGTTATTTCTGCAGTGGATTAACCTGGATAAAGGACAGGAACTTCGACTGCCGCTTGCCCCTCTTTAGTATGGGTTTCGCCATACAAGGCCGTGTTTGGTTGTGATGCCAAGATATGAGTATCTTCATCTTCACAGCCTTAAGGAAATTCCTGGGTCTTTGTAATCTGATGAATTGATGAGACAGTAGTTAACTGTGGTTAAAATCTCGAAAGTCGATCAAGAAGAGACAAATAACGGTGCATTGACAGGGTAAGCGTCTCCTGTTAAGATGTATCACCCGTCATGGGCAGATCTGCTTCAGTCCGTTAAGAGCTATAAGCCAAAAGATACAAGTCAAACTAATCATGATAATGTACTTTGAATCTTTTGTGAACATATGAAAAAGAAGATATTCATGTGTGACCTGTGTGCTTATTGCGAAACCCAATTTTGTCGAATGTTAAGTGTTTTATCAGAAAAAGGTAATGAAAAAGATAAATGTCATGATCCAGGTTTCTCCAAATGTGGTCGAAGTGCTAAAACCACATTTTACGCCAAAAAATGTATTTGCAAAAAACCAGGACAAATATTGTGTAACAGTTCTTTCATCCAAACATTTTTAGAAATTGTAAATAATTGTCGAGTTCTGTGCTGGTGTGAATTTCGAATAATTCAGTAAAACTTATTTTTGATAATCAAAACTCTTAAATTGCAAGCTTTAACATTCAGTAATTATCATAAATAAAAATTTCTCTGTTGTTCAAAGCTTTCAATTGTTTTTTTAACATTTCATTCTATAAAATGATTTCAGGCATTTTGTAAAATACCTTTCAATTTTTCCAGGCATTTTGTAAAATACCTTGAAAAATTAGTCATTATGTAAAATGCCTGAATCTTGCAGGCATTTTAGAAAATATCTAAAGTTTTAAGGCATTTTACAAAATGCCTAAATTTAGAAAATGCCTGTAACATATATATTTAAACAACAATTGACGTCAATTGAACGTATGTTTTTTCATTCACGACAAAATGCAAAAAGAAGCATAATCCATGCAATTGCCAATGCCGCCATAAATAAGATGACACGAGTAATGACTTCTACATTAGGTCATGGTTTTGAATAATCAATCCCGATCTGAAGATGTGTTATTATCTTGGCCTTAGAAATGCTTAGTTCATACATTTTTTTAGTATGAAACAAATTCATCTTATTTCGGTTTTGTGCTCACATGTCTAATTGTTTGAGGTTTTTCTTTCCCCTTGCCAATTTTTTCTCTCCATTTACAGTACTTCTGTTTTAAAAACTCCATGCACAAGGAACATGAAGCCACAAAGATGCCAATTCCTATCAAATAAAACGCACTTTGAACATCTATAAGTGTTATGGCATTAGACTCTTTAAGAAGAGATTCTTTACAATTTCCAGGTTTTGGCCAATGTCTCAACCTCCATATCTGAAGTAATCCACTTTCATGTATTGAAATTATTCTAAAAAAGCACAAGACAAAACACTTTAAATATATTAAGGACACCTTGGCCAAAATAAAAGAAAGTACTCTTTTAACAAATAGACGTGTATTGATAATTTGTCAAATAAAATGCATTCTAAAAATCTAACAGTACTAAAGCTTTTTTTTTATCTTCAAGGAGAAAACATATATAAGTTTCGAGCAATGTCTCCGTTTTCAATATAGGAATATATTTTCTACTAGATTGTTTAAAATACCACAAAGTATACAACAGATATAATACAGGGTAGTTAAGTAGTTAAGATATTTTTCACGAATCTCAGAAATAAGAGAAACCGGTTCTGAAGTTGGTTAACGTTGTTTGATGACTTCTTTTGACTTAAAGAATAGCTAGTTTTATGCCATGTCCGAGTTTGGTTTCACTCTATGCCCTTTCCGGTTTCTCTATTCTTCAATGCTTATAAAAGGTTTAGATTGTCAAATCTTTTGGCCTCGAGTATCACTGAAGATACATTAATTGTAAAAAAATAAAGTGACGTCAAAATTATCTGTCCTTTATCAGCGTTTCAAATCGATTCAATTCCCACTTAAAACTATATCTTATGTTCTCAGTAGAAATTATTAAGAAACAAAATTCTCAATTCCATCAAGCAAAGTTGACCTTAGATGGATTTGTTCATCATTTACAGGTCCTCTTTTGTCATATTCATATAGCTCTTTATCTGTTTCGGTTCTGATCCACCTTGGCTTTTAAATGTTCGGCATTGGGCGTTCCTGATAAAGTTAGATCCAGAAAAGCACTTCGGACGCATTGAATTTATAAAATGTGTTTTAATTTTTCTCACTTTTTTAAATCCTCGTGAGGTTATGCTGTGTAATCAAAATACTTACTCGTCAGTAAAAATCTTTGTAAATGGTGAATTATTTGGTAGTGCCATGGCATACTGTAATTGGAGTACTTCAGCTAAAGTCATGGCCAAATCACAATTATTGATCATGGTCATATCAAAGAACGTTTTGTCTACTATAAACGCATAATTTCCTTCTAGTACTTTGCCTATATGTTCATCACCTATATAACTCAGGACTCTTGTGTCAGTTTTATTGTACTCTACAACTCCACTCCATATTTTTTTATACTCCGGTATTTCCGATGTCTGTGAAGTAAACGAAATATATGGAGTGATAACAGTACCAATTTGCCATTTGATTAGGGACTTTTCATTTTGAATTTTCCTCGTAGTTCAGTATTTTTGTGATTTTACTTTTTACTATTATATACTTTTTATTTTCATTAATTTCATTATTTATATAAATCTTATTCGAAATTAAACCCTTCTTGTCCAACATCATGACCATTTGTGTTCCAGGTTTATTAGAAATTTAGTGAGGTATCAAGGGTAGATGAATGCAAATTGAAAAAAAAACTAATGGTCGATCGCATTTAAAAGATGGCAGCTTCATCAGGGGTTATACCTATTGGTACTTGTGTGGTTTACTTTCTTCGGAAATATTCCGTTAACAAACAAAAAATATATAGGTTTCGAAGTTTTGTGACTTATGCATTCTACTCAACCATATACATTCAGAACACTCTTTACTATTCGTTTGATTTTTTTTTTTAAACAAATCCTCTAAAATTACTCTTGACCTAAGACACAAACATTAAGCTATCATTTCACCTTGAAAATTTGTTCAAAAATAGCTCCTCCTTGTATTCCCCATTTATATTTATCCTGTGCAACAAGTCCTGACAGATCTGTGAAAGGTAGTTTGTCTTTTGTCACTGTCAGGAAGGCAATTAGGTTACCACTATAAGTAGCCATCATAATTATACAAAATATCCACCAAAAGCTTAAAAGTGTTCGGCCTGATGACGAATCTGCCATATGTGCACCACCTATCAATATATAAAATTCATTTTATTTTATAAACATTTGGTCAGACATATGAAAGAGATACTTTATGTAAATTTCGCTATGTTTTATTATATATGAACTATAATTTTAGATTATATTTTATTATTGGACAAAATGCAATTTTTATACGACCTGTTCAATGTTAAAAAGTAAAAATAACACTTTATGAATTGTACTCGTCTGAAATAGAGAAGCAACAGATAACAAAGGAATATTCAAACTCATAGGGGGAGGGTTGGGCGCCCGCAAATATGTTTAACCCCGCCACATTCTATATGTGGCTGTCCCAAGTCAGGAGTCTGTAATTGAGTGGTTTTTGATTGTTGCTGTTGATCATATGCGTAGTTTGTTTATTGTTTTGTACAGTTCTTGTATTGTTCTGTTGCACTATTGTCCCAGGATAAGGGGGAGGGTTGGGCGCCCACTAACATTTTTAACACCGCCACATTCTGTATGTGTCTGTCCCAAGTCAGGAGTCTGTAATACAGTGGTTGTCGTTTGTTGCTCTGTTGTTACATATTTGTTTTTCCTTCATTATTTTGCACATAAAGTAGGCCGTTAGTTTTCTCGTTTGAATTGTTATTTGTTTTTCGTTCATTATTTTGCACATAAAGTAGGCCGTTAGTTTTCTCGTTTGAATTGTTTTACATTTGTTATTTCGGGGCCTTTTATAGCTGACTATGCGGTATGGGCTTTGCTCATTGTTGAAGGCCGTACGGTGACCTACAGTTGTCAATTTCTGTGTCATTTGGTCTCTAGTGAAGAGTTGTCTCATTGGCAATCATACCTCATCTTCTTTTTTATATCATAAGTGTCACACATGACAACGGATATGTTCCAATTGTCGGAGCAATTCTCCTGTTTTATTTCTCTCGATTGTCACTTCACTTGAACTTAACTGCGAATGTGTATTTATCTTGATCAACACGACTGGTGCCTTATGTGAAGCATAACTTGCTCACCAACCTTCCGGAGAACTAGCGTTAACCCCTTTTTTTCGGTGGGGAGCGACGACGGCATGGAAAGTACAAGCTTCTCCTGTTATACATGTAACACCCGCCAAATAAAATCATTCTCAGTCAAAACACACGGTAATACTCATAATATCGGTAAATTTCAGATCAGATGAGTATCCTTGTATCTTAAGATCTAAGATCAGGTCTCAAATTGAAACAATTTACATATTGCCAAGACATTTGAAATACGAATTCTATCAAAAACCATGGGGTAAAGATATAAGGCTTTAAATCTGGTAAACAAGACGTGCGTTTCGCCTACATAAGACTGATCAGTGGCTCTCGACAGCTGAAAGGCCAATTCACATAATCATTACGTAGTTCCAGTATACCAGCGTATCGCAATAACTGACATAACTAGTTACCTTGGGTCAATAAAGCACCATACATATACCAAAAAGAGTCTGAAAAATGATGCAATCCTGTCACTTTACTCCTGTCCTCTACTGTTCTGTAGTATGGATTATACTTTTCGAAGAAGAAAAGGAAGAGTGATAAAATTGGCAAGGAAACAAATATACATAACAGGACAGTAGTACTGAATGGATCTATCAGTGTTCTCCATTTGGTTAAATTTGGATCAGGCTTTTTCATTAGGATAACGGATGGTTCATAGAAATATGGATATGTGAAATCTATAACGTTTTCCCTGTCTGTCTGTATTGTCAAAGGAGCAGCCACTATGTCTACATCCTGTAATTATAGCAATCATAAGAATTACAAAGGCAATGATTTACCGATCATTATATTCACATTATGACATTATATATTAAATACATTATAAAGTCATTTACTTACCAAAAACTTTGCTTGTATCAGACATGTTTATTGTATTTGAAGTTTTGAGGAATAGTTTTTCAAAAATATATTGCGCTATAATCAAAAATAATTTCTTTGACAATTTACCACCGATATTTCTTATATGAATAAGTCAGAAAACAGTTATTACGTAACGTATTTACACAAGAAAACGCAAGAAATCGCACCTGTTCTACCATAAGAGATTTTAAAAGTGATGTGTACTACTTTTTGGGATAAATTATATAAAACAAAATTGAAATGTATATCGGCTCTAACTCAAAATATGGATATTTTATGTTGAGGGGGTCTATAAATCGGTTAAACAGCTTCAGACATACAATTTTTTTACCTTTTCAAACTGGACCAAGTCACTACTTTACCTAAAAATTCATATCCATATTTTTTTTTACATGTGCTTTCATCCCCTTACGTACTATGTTATGCATAAAATGTACAGAAATAAATTTTGAAAGTGTTTGAAAAAAATTACATAATACACTGTCCACACTAGGGACGGCATTTGCAGCCAACGAAAATCACAGGACGATAACTGTGTCCCCGGATCTAGCAGAGTAGAAAGACTTTACTAATTTGAAAAGAACTTGGTATGATCATAGATTAGGGAATTATAAGACAGTTTACTAAGTTTCATGGCAATAAAATAAAAAAATATAGACAATATAGTCATGTACCAAGTCAGGAATATGACAGTTGTTTTCCATTCGTTATATGTGTTTGAGCTTTTGATTTTGCCATTTTATAAAGGACTTTCCTTTTTGAATTTCCCATGGAGTTCGGTATTTTTGTTATTTTACCTTTAATATTTGAACTTTTTGTGATTATTTTTGAAATTTAAATCGAACAATTTTAACTATCAAGATTTGGGCCTGTATTAATTTAATCAAAAAATGCTTTTAAAATGCTTTAATATATAATGTAGCATGTATCTAAAGCAGCTTAAAACTCATTTGATGTATCGGATTTATAATATATAAAGGCAACAGAAGTATATCGCTGTTCAATAGTCATAATTCGATTAAGAAAAAAACAAATCCGGGTAACAAACTAAAACCGAGGGACACACATCAACTATAAGAGGAAAACAACGAAACAACAGAAACACTGAAGTGAACAAAAAACAAACGACAATGCAACACACACAGAAACGAACTATAAGATAACAACTGCCATTTTCCTGACTTGGTACAGGACATTTTAAGAAAAAATGGTGGATTGAACCTGGTTTTGTGGCTAGCCAAACCTCGCACTATTATGGCAATGTTAAATATAAAACTAAAATGACATCATTACATGACAGGAATACAGTACAAATAAATGCAAGAACATTCAGGGGAGAGAAATACACAAATAAACAATACAATAGTACATTTCGACATGCTAACCACAGAATAAAAACAAACACGTAAAGCAACATAGGACAGCACACAAAAACAGCACAACAAAACCACGAGCTGTCTTTCACACGACTGTATCAACGCCACAAAAGTGACGTCACAGGTAAATTTCTAAAAAATTGATACAGTTCAAGATCAGGTTTGTAACTATGTCATTTGATGTATTTTATAACAATTACAAGTATATTGATATAGAATTGTGTTAGTAATTAGATAATTAATTGTGTTATCTAGCTATGTCGGTATTTCTTCTAAATCAAACTGAAAAACAAATAAATCGTGTACATATAGTTGCTTTAAACTAAAATCTTATAAATGAACTGGGTTATACACATATACTAGTATTTGAACCACTTACTATCCTACAGTAGAAGAGAAAGGTAGTAAATGAAAAGACACAGGTAAAATCATTGTAAAGTGCTTAAATATGTCAATTTTAGCAATATAATGCCACAATTGGACATTTTTCCAAATTTCTGTCAATTAAGGATGTAAATCATCTACTTTCATTCAATTTGACAAGTTGATACCATAAAACCATTCAAGGAAGTTGCCAAAGTACAGAATCTACATTTACTGAACTCATCTCTAGGCCCGAGAACACATTAATTGCGTAGTGCATTTCTTTTAGACAAAAAAAAACGCGGATTAAAAATATCTATATAAAAAAAATTAACATTGTAGTGTACCATTTTTGGGACAAATTATATCAAAATTATAGAAAATCCTATCGGCTCGTACTCAAAATATGGACAATTGTATGTTGAGGGGTCTATAATTCAGTTTGACAGCTTCAGACATACCAATTCTTGACCCTTTCAAACTGGACCAAAATCACTTCTTTAACTAAATATTCATGCCTCAAGTTATTTTACATGTAATTTTATCCCCATTTTACTATGTTATGCACACTAGGGACTCTGTAGACAACAAAAATCAGAAGACGATTACTGTGTCCCCGGACCAATAAAGTAATGAATGCTGGAAAGTGCACGAATTGCTCATATAATGAAACAAATGTACCATTAATTTGGGAAAAAGAAATTAAGAATTACAAATATAAAACAAAGGCTTATCCCAACCTTAACCACATGACCCTTCCCTAAGCAGCCTTCAAAATTCTAACGACAAATACAAGTATTTGCAAATCTTAATGTCATTGTAAATCAATTTTATTTTGCTATTTAAGTTTATTTTCGTCCATTTTTGACTTCATTAATAAAATTATTTTTTGAAAATGAAAAATGTTTATATATAGTCAATTAATTGTTTCAGTCTTATCAGCATTTTTGTAGATAGTGTAAATTTGATTTATATACTTTATTTTCATCTTCTGTTTACATGCATCTATTAAAAGTTCAAAAAGCAGATACGCAACAATAAGTCCAAAACCGTTCTTAATGGTCAATTATTTCTTCATTTTACCGTTTATTCTTAATTTTCAATGGCCATGCTGGTTGATAGACAGAAATATATTAACAGCGTATACAACAGACCCCAAAAGGATCACTTACAGAAAGCTTTGATATATTTAATTCAGATTTGTTGAAGAATGGGTCATTTTTTCAAAGTTTAGAAGCAACGCCAAGTAATAGCAATAGCTCATACTGGCACGAACAAAAACAGTTCATTTCCTTATCAAATTTTAAATGTGCACATTAGGTTTGCAACGATGTATCATTGGAATAAAGAAGTAGATACGTTAATGTATTTAGTGTCAACATATTTTAATGACGAATTCGTTATATATACTAAAACGAAGAATAAAACTACTCGTAATTGAAAAAAAATAGGATTAGAAAAGAAATATAAAGATTTGGTTTGGAAGTTTGGTTGTACCTGTAGAAACTTATTTTTAACGGGATAGCACATCCTAATTTTTACGGAGATGTTGTTTACCGAGCCCGGAAATTTAGATACGATCCGTTAAATAAACTTATTATAAAAGGTTACCAATTCAACACTATAATTAGATCTTTGAATGTTGTTTTATTGGTATTACTATTGATTTTGTTATCAGTAAATTAATATCAACTTAAATATTATTTTTATATACACATGCACATAAATGGCTCTACAATCTGTCGACACCTGTATCTTGGCATTGCACAAGGTCATGTTTTTCTCTGACTGTTAGAGACGTCTTTACACTAAATCCATTGGATGTTGGATGCGTTCTTTTTGTTGTGGGGAATGTATAAGTACCTGCCACGTCCACTCTGTGTTTTGTGTCGATCTGATTAGTTAAGCCCTTTTCAACTGATTTTTATTGTTTGTCCTTATGTTGTACTGTTACACCACTGTCCAAGTTTAGGGGAGGGTTGGCGCGCCTTCAAATTAGTTTAACCCCGCCACATTCTGTATGTGCCTGTCCAAAGTCAGGAGCCTGTAATACAGTATTCGTTTGTTGCTGTATATCAAATTTTGTTTTTCGTTGATTATTTTGTACATAAATCAGGCCGTTAGTTTTCTCATTTAAATTGTTTTACATTTGTCATTTTAGGGCCTTTTATAGCTGACTATGCGGTATGGGTTTTACTCATTGTTGAAGGCCGTACGGTGACCTTTAGTTGTTATTTTCTGTGTAATTTGTCTCATTGGCAATCATAACACATCTTCTTACTTTTATATTAGGCGTCTGAAAGTTTTTGTGCGTAATGTATTTGGTGAATTTCATTCCAGAAGCACGTGACAAGTGCACCGAAATCTGTATCATACCAAACTAATTAAAATAGTATAACTTAAAAAAAATGCAGATCACAATTATGATTACCCGTTGTTGAAGTTGTCCTACCAACCCTGTCCATGAACCATTTGGTGTCTCTGTACCCCATTGCCCATCTGGTGGGGATGTCAATTCATACCTTAAACATCATTGGATTAAACTATATGCAAAGTTAGTCCCTTTCCCAGTAAAGTTAAGACGAATTTTACAGTTTTACCAATTACAATAATAAATTACATTCTGGGGTATGACGTACACAATTATGATCCGGAGGGCTTTCTTTGATGTATTTGGTCGATGTTTTTTGAAGAATGTTAATACAATTGAACATGTGGTACTTTTTCTCTTACGGTCATTTTCATGATCATTTCCAGCGGTATCTGATAGTTCAATTGTAGAAATAGTTCCCAATTTCCAATTTTGCTATTTGATTAAGTGACCGCAAAAAAATTCTAAGGAATAATTAATCAGAAAGGAAATTATGTAAAGGAAAGCAAGTATGTCCTTCATAACTTGAAACATTTAGTTTGTTTATACCCGATCGAAATACTTCACCACCGTAACCCATTCATTCACGATCAATCATCAAGTTATACCAAAGATATCATTGATTCACACCATGCAACAGTAAGTCTGGAGAAGAGAATGAGGTCGTTTATGTTAATGCATGATTCTTAAAAGACAATTAGAAAGCGGCAACAACAATTGCTGAGTATTTTTACTTGTTCTGACAGACATGACGTATTTAAAGGAAACTATCCGACAACTATCATTGTTAAATGGTTCATTTTCAAATTGAACAAAGGCTTATACTTATATGGAACTGATTTCTGATTTAGATACTTACGTAAAATTCAATTCATTGGCAAGCTCCTGAAGAAGGTCCATCGAAAATCCTGTATAGTTGTTTGTTTTAATATCATGAACGATAAACGGCTTCCACTGAAAAAGTTTTTGATATTCATTAAAATACATGTAATATAAAAGTAACTATAAAAACACACACAGATGATGTAGATGATATTTACCGACATCCTCCCAAAAGACTAATTACTTATAACGATTAAATGTAAATTATCGGACAGTCGTCTTATCAGCTGATAAGTAATTTGCCCTACCTGTCTCTTGAAATCGGAACAACCTGAGAAAAAACTTGCTGCACACGATAGCCAAAACAATTGTTTTGTTATTCGTTCGGTAACATGTATGGTATATGATGAAGTAATAGCCGGTTATAAGGTTGTAGGGCCTATATCTATGCCATATTTCCGGAGCAAATATTACATTCACAGTCTTTGAATTTAGGAAAATAGCGTAAAATCACGATTTCTTCACATGCAAACAACGTGAATCTCAACACACAAGTTTATCCCCAGCATTTATATATACTAGTAAGCAAGAAAACCTTCGAAATAACAGATCTACATACACGACGTCACTTCAAAGACATTAGGCATTAAATGAAAAAAATCATTTTATCCTCGGGTAAATGCAGTTTCATTTGTATCAGATATAGAAAGCATAGTAAAATGTTTCGTCGAAATTTAATGAGACTAACCTGTGACTACTAGTATTATATAATGACAGTGCAATAGTCAAATGCAGGAATAAAAAACTCAAATAAAATAGATGAGTTCGCAAAATTTTAACGAATATATACCCCAAAAAATCATAAAACACGCTTTCTATTCGTTATCTTCTTGATATTGATCGACAGAACTACCAATTATGAATAATTAACTCCAACCGTGACATTTCACTAATAAGTGGGTGATACAAAAACGGTAAATATCATCTGCTTTTGTACTTTATCTATGGCTTTTATATCTATGGTTTAATGAAGATCAAAAATAAATACATACAACGTATCAGTTACTTGTAAAATAGTCCGTTAATAAATTTAGAAATTATTAGAAACTAAGGTTTCACCTCCTTCAGGCAAAGTTGACCTTATATGTAATTGATTTTTAGGTCCTTTTTTGATAATAATCTCTTTAACTGTTTTGGTTCTTATATATCCTTTGCTTTCAAATATTCGGCTTTGAGAATTCATAATGAAGGTCAATCCAGAAATGTGCTTCGGACGCATGAAATTTATAAAGTGTTATTCATTTTTACTAACTGGTCATAAGCGGGTGTGTTTAATGAAGATAACAAATGAATTCATACAACGTATAAGCTACTTACTGGTAATAAGCTGACAATGAATTTGCGTCTATTAAAACCGAAATGTTCGTTCGGAAAGATATCTTTGGAAAAAAGAAAACTTCCCGTTAGCTGTGTATATCCAATAGTACTCAGTCCTCGTTTTGTTTTATGCCACATTAGTGTTTTGATGGGTAGCCATGCACAATCTTTCAAATCGTCGGGATACATCTAGAACGATAATCTAGAATTAAATCATATAGGTAAGAAACTCAATATACTCCAAGGAAACAAAACTGTAAATATGGTAGGCGATTTTCTTAATGATAGTTTTACCAACAAATAGTAAAGACAGTTGCTCATTTTTTATATTGTAAACAACTACCCCTGCAAAAGGAGACGTTCGATACCAAGGCGACACTCAAAACTCAGTAGTCGAGATTAACTGAAAACGCCATGGCAGAACACTAAAGACGATGAGAACTTAAGCAAGTTAACAAAACACTTCATTTAAAAATAAGCGACACGAACCCCATCAACAACTGGGTATGATCTCAAGTACAAATTCGGTAATGAGTCTGAATCGGTGATGTGATAATCGAGGAATATAGGTCGAGATTGAGGTTTCGAAAAGTGGAAAATATCCGTGGTCTTCTGTGACACAGATATCCCATTGTTTTACATTTTTCATGTCGGTACCCTTTACTGACGTACGTATTTGCGTACTGACGTTGTTTATCATCTAAATAACGTGTTATAGTATTCTTTTATTTGTCTTTATTAATATTACTTTTACTCTAAAGTCTGTTTTTTGAGATATCCATTTGACGTGACTTTGTGCTTATGTATCCCGTCATACTTTGAACGACAAAATTATTTTATTTATTAATATTACTTTTACTGTTGAGTCTGTTTTTTGTGATATACATTTGACGTGGCTCTGTACTTATGTATCCCGTCATACTTTGAACCACACAATTATTTTATTTGTCAATATTACTTTTACTATTAAGTCTGTTTTTTGTGATATCCATTTTACGTGACTCTGTATTTATGTATCCCGTCATACTTTGAACGACAAAATTATTTTATGTCTACCTGTGCGAATTTCAAACGCGCGATTTTACGCCAGTACTTATAACCTTCCATCCTTTATGGGTGGATTTTATATAGATAAATAAAATCGTATAATATAAGCAAAATGAGGATGTTAAATTTGATGTATGCCTTTTTGTGCTTCTTCGTTACATTTGTTTGTTTTTATAGTGATTAAGATGATAACACAATGTTGACTGCTGTACCCCTATTTTTGACATTTTTACCTATTGTGTCTGTTTGTTTTGTTCACGCACCGTTGTCAATATAATGGAATTTGATGCGACTGTCATACAAGTAAGAGGTTTAGCTAGCTATAAAACCAGGTTCAATCCACCATTTTCTACATTAAGAAAATGCCTGTACCAAGTCAGGAATATGACAGTTGTTATCCATTCGTTTGATGTATTTGAACTTATGATTTTGCCATTTGATTGGGAATTTCCTTTTTGAATTTTCCTCGGAGTTCAGTATTTTTGTGATTTTACTTTTTACAGCTTGCTATGCGCTTTGAGTTTTTCTTATTGGTAATGCTCATACGGTCTATACTTGTTTATATCAATGTTATTTTTGTCTCAATTTGGAAATTTGGCTCACTTGGAAATATACAACATCTTCTTATTTTTATATAAAACTGGGTAAAATGTATTAATTATAACGCTTCACCGTAAATTTCATTTTCAAAAACAAGAAACAACAAGGTTATTTGACTTTGACCTCATTTTCATGACCATGATGAATTGGAAATTGTTAAAGTTAACATTTTTGGACATATCAATATTCCTATAAATAATAAGAAACCATGTTTGGTTGTCATAATAATTATTATATATTATCACTCATTGATGAATTCAGCTCCGGTGGAAGATATTTTGGTTTCCTGTTTTTGTTTTATAGTTTTGATAAAATTAAGAGCTTCACACTATACATATACCCTTATTTATTATTGAAGACATTACACCAACTTCTAAATGTCTGTTTATGTTATGTAGTGATGATCATTCATTGTTTTATTCCAATTTAATGGAAAAAAATAGCTTAAAAGATGGTTTTGATGACTTTCTCCTATCGTGATTGCTATTGGCTATCGACAGCAATAGCTTTACACTTGTGAATGACAATGTTAAACTTTAAAGGGGTATGGTATACCAATAAACGTTCAAAGTCAACAAATCAACGTTTTTGAAAGCGATCATACTTTATTTATGCTCCCTCAGAATTTATATATACTCAAGTCAACAGGTTTATGAGTTATATCATTATAGTTAAGCTATCAACTTAAAAACCAAAACTATTGATCTTTTACAGTAGCACAAACATGCAATTATTAATAAGAAGGTTTAGAAATATTATGCTTTTACAATGTAGTATGAAATGGCTATATCAGAAGGATTTTCTTTTATTTCTTACAGTCAAATACTTGTTGCACATAATAAACATTTTCTTTCATTTTGTTTTACTGTCATGTTTTAATTTTCCAAAACAGTCATATTTGGGAATAGGTCACGTTCAGTACTTAGAAGACCAGACGACGTAGATGGTAAACCACAATCTAAGTAAAGGCAACAGTAGTATACCGCTGTTTGAAACTCATAAATCATAAATCGATAGAGATAAAAACAAATCCGGGTTACAAACTAAAACTGAGGGAAACGCATCAATTATAAGAGGAGAACAACGACACAACAAAAACACAACATTAAAATGTAACACACACAGAAACGAACTATAATATAACAATGGCCATTTTCCTGACTTGGTACAGGACATTTTAAGAATAAAATGGTGGGTTGAACCTGGTTTTGTGGCATGTCAAACCTCCCGCTTTTATGGCAACATCAAACACAACAACAAAACGACATCATCACATGACAGGACCACAATACAAATAAATGGGAGAACATATAGAACAAAGAAACACACGAATAATAGCTAACAAAAGGTACTAGGCCTAAAATTCAATACGCCAGACGTGTGTCTCGTCCACACAAGACCAACCAGTGACGCTCAGATGAAAAAGTTTGAAAGCCAAAACAAGTACAAAGCCGAAGAGCACCGAGGACCAAAACTTCCAAAAAGTTGCGCCTAACACGGCCAGGGTTTTCTGCCTGGGACAAGAAAATCCTTATCATTTAGAATAATTTATAATTTTGCAAACAATTAATTTCATAAAATGACCATATAATAGATATACATGATAAAACCGAAGTGGGGACTAACTACAGGATAAAAACGGATACATTACATAAAACAACTTAATCCAACACATAAAAATACACAGCCGAGTTAGCCAAAGCCTCAACGCAGAAGACGTGGTAAAAATGTCGTTGGTTTATTACAGTGTTCTCCATTTTTCACTAAGGTAAGGTGGGTGTTTTGAAAAAATCACTTGCAACCGGTTGGGTTTTTTTTTTTTTTTTTAACATTTCCAACGGCGGGTTTTACTTTACTGTTTTTTGGGACACAAAAAGAATGATTAATATTATATTCACATTTAATAAAATTGAACCATTCTTTGCTATCACTGCTAGTCTTTTATTTGACAAATTAGTTGTTAGCATCTCGGCTAGCAGATATGGCTTTTGCAGGACTCCCTTCTCCTGCATATGCATTGCTTATCGATCCAAGTTTCTGTCCTGTTCCTCGCTTTAGTGTTGTATTTTTGGCACACAGAACTGAAATATCTACCTTCTGTGCCAATTAGCCATTTAAAGTCCTATTCATATTTATCAGCTTGGGAACAACCCCTCAAATGAGGGGTAAACTCTCAATGTAATGACTACCCCTTTTATGAGAGGTACATTTCACGAGATACAAATGAACTCATATTTATTTTATTTACAGAAACTTTTCCCAAATAACTATACATCTATTTGGTATTATATGGTCAAAACATGTCCAAGAAATTTGTAATATTCCTGGACTTATATCTGCTTTATCATTAAAAATAATTGGGCCTTCTTTTAAAAAAGTTGTTCCAAATATAACGATTTTCCCTCTTTTAAGTTAAAAAATCTAAGTGTTTCTCTTTTCTTTTCTTCAACAGTATTGACATGACCTCTTGCGAGAGAGACAGTCCCTCATTTAAGGGATATCCCTCATTTGGGGGATTGTTCCCAACCTGTTCATCTTCGACTTCGCGATCGCTTGCGTGCCTTTTCCGTTGTTTGATACTTTTTTTTCAATTTCAACAATTTTAATACAACTATCCGTTTTAGTTGACTTATTTGGCATAGAATTTTCCTTATCACCATCGTCACCTGCCTTTCTCTTCCCCCGATTAATAAAAAGAAAACATTGAAATTTGACGATCCGCCATTTTTGTCAATGAAAACAAATGCGAGGCGCGATTAGTATTTAAATGTTTACGGTGCGGAACCGAACAAAATCCGGAATTTGAAAAAAAGCCGACCACCTCCTAAAATGGAAAGGTGGTCGGCTTTCAAAAGAAGGTGGTCGGCACACCCGGCTTAAATGCCGAATGGAAAACACTGGGTTAGTTTAAACACAGACACATCGTATATATCGACCAATTCGTGATGGTGTCCATAAAATTTAAGGAGTGTCATTTTTAATCTTTCCTCCTCATAACTCTGTTGGAGTAGTTTCTGCGTAAGGAGCACACTCCTGTATATGAAGTCCGTATAGTGTGAACATGCACGAGCATAACGTATCAACTGATATTTGTAAACACCATACGATGGGGCAGAGGGTATGTTACTGCTGAGAATTTGATAATTGGGAAGTTGAAATCGTCCCGTTTGTCAAAGATTTTAGTGTGAAGTCGTCCATCTGTGTCAATATTGAGGAAAAGATCAAGGTATCAAGCAGTACTTCTAGTGTCAGTAGTATCCTTAATTTCAAGTTTACCGGGATATATGAGATGTAAGTACCGGCTGAAATAGGGGTTATTCAGTGATAGGACATCATCAATATATCTGAAAGTAAAATTAAAGAATTTCGCAAGGTGCTTTTTCTTTTTCTTTTTTAGAAGGTTTTGAATGAATTCTGCTTCATACAAGTACAAAAACAAATCGGCCATTAGGGGTGCACAATTAGTACCCATTTGAAAACCAATTGTCTGTTGAAATATCAATCCTCCAAACTCAACAAATATATTGTCGATCAAAAAGTCG